GGTCTGGTATATTTTATTTGCAATTTGGATCAAGCTCTGGCTCGGGTTTGTTAATCTCACCTGACTTTGTTACACTGACGAGAGTACAATTGGTCATATATACAACTTTAATCATTGTCTATTTAAGGGTTTTGCTATATCTATTTTTATCTATAGTTATCCACCAATTGCCATATCTAAGATCTGCTTATAGATCTCTATTTAAACCCTCTGATCGACTTTACACCGTCATGTTATTTTCACCACTGCCTAATTGCCACTAAGATCCCTTAGGACTACTTTATCCTTGTAGTAAACCTGCTAGAATTTTCCATACCCACAATCTAGCTAACCTAGTCTTCAGTAACTTATACTCTTATCTGAGAACAAGTACTTGTGAGCTGAGGCTGAAACCATTACCGTTACCTTTGCAAAGTTCACCCAAACTCTAGCACCCATTTTACAAACTATTACTGGTATTCCCAACTATCCAAACTACCAATCCAGATAGCCCAGAAGGGCTATGATCTGCCCCTAGTTCAGTACTCTGGTGGCCTGGTTGGTGGAGTGCTTTGCCAAACACTTCAGTCCCATTCAGTTTTTGCCAGTTCTTCTGATAATAATCCTTTATATAGTACTATCGAAGGTCTGTGCTACTTCTCTACTCAGATCTTCGGTTTTTGGATTAATGCGATCTGAGAATATATTTGTGTAACTCATATATTGTACAGATCTTCTAATCCTGTTGATACCACCAAGGTTACAGAGATCCTGTTTCAACTGATCATTAAAAGACAGTAGCCATTGTACAAATAGAATATTTGAAATTCGTCGCCAATGGGTTTCGAACCCCTATCTAGCCAACATGCTGCTTGGGGGTGCGATAACTTAACCACTTCACTAAGTTATCACACCCTATTGATTAATAAAATTATAATTAATGAGTAATAAATAATAAATAAATAAATAATAAATTAATTGCTATAAAATGTTAAGTAAAGTCTCAAACAAAAAAAAAGTAAAAAAATTGTCAACTTTAAATAACAATAATAGGTTGCCAATCTATTATAATATCCCAATAGTATTTGTTCTTTTAATATTGAAAGTTTATAAGCTCTATTATTTAATTTGCTTTGATAATATATGTTTCTCTTTGAGCTTTGCAGATCAGGATGTTTTGATATCTTTTTGTTGTATCAAATCTTTATCTTCTATTTTAAATTCTTCTGGTTGAATCTTAGAATCAAATTTTACTTTTTGTTTTTTCTGAGATTTGTCAGTATTTTTGTGACTATTTTCTAATGATATTTCTTAATCTGTTTAGTTTCAATAGACAGATAATATTTCTTGATCTGTTTCTTGTGGTTCTATTAGCAGAGTAGTTTCAATAGGCAGATGATATTTCTTGATCTGTTTCTTGTAGTTTTATTGGCAAAGTAGTTTCAATAGGTAGTATAGCTTGTTGTCTATATACTAATTGAAAAGGTATATATCCTGTAGTTGCATATCGCTTGGTTCTATATACAAATAAAACAGCAGATATATGTATATCCCAATCTTCATCTATTTCTTTTACTTTTGCAAGAGAGTTGCAAAGTATTTGGTTTAAGCATTCAACTATACCATTAGTTTGGAATGATACAGGAAAGAGAATAAATATTTTATCAAGAATTTGTTACACAAAATTTTGACAGTTTTACTAATAAAATCTCTTCTATACTAGGAACAGAATACAAAGTATGTAGAGTATGGTTTATAGGCAAGTTAAGTGGAGTGTACAATTATAAGCATTTGATTGGACAGAAATGCCTTGTGATTTTGTATAGCACCCAAACAACACTAAAAAAGAATGCTATCTAGAATATACTTACATATGTATATGCTAGGAATAGAGTATTTAATGCCAAATTATTTGATTGGATGATCTTTATTATATATTCAACTTGTGATCTGATTTTAACAAGTTTTTACAATTTTTACGGTAGCTTTTATATTTGTTACCTATTCAATTTTGTTGTATTGTTGTATATATACCAGTTTTTTGCTATTTATGGCTTGCAGTACTTTAATCTTTCCAGTTTTTTTTATACGCCTAGTTATATCAGAAACATAGTGAAACAAAATAATAGTTTATAGCCAACTAACTGTGTACAAAATCTTGCATCTTATTGGGCAGCATGATCTTGTCATATGAAAATTAAACCTTCGTATGGGCCTGGGCTACCTATAGGCACCTGCGAGTAGGTTCATAAGGGCCAGATTAGAGTATCGAATCCCAAGTCTTAGAGTAAATGTGAAGGCTCGAGACATTAAGCCCTTGTATAAACAAGTAGTGCTTAGATAGTACTGCTTTATCTATAGGTACCCATTATTTATGTTTCATGTGAATTTAAGTTCATATGATTAGCTAATTCTATATTTTGGTCCCTACCAGTATCTTCCCTTTGACTTATACTAATTTATCAGTTTCTGGACCTTTATCTAAACCATTGGTTCTTATTAGCACCTTTTATAAAATTTATGCTAAGCTTCAGTTTGTGCCTAACCCTTATGCCTTATTATTTAACAGGATTAGCTTAGAAGTCTTTTACAATATTCTTATGACCTATGTCTTGGCCACTTCTCGTTAGGGGGCATCCATAAATAACGTTATGTACCTCCACATAGTAGCTCTTGACCCCCCTAGACTATATAAAAAAATTTAAAAATTCGTATATTTATATATAAATTTTTACAAACCCTTGATTATCTTGTGGCCCAGTAATTCAAATTAGATAAATTTGGTACCATTGGATTCGTCTCTATGAGAGGAATCTAATGGTGCCAAAATTATTCAATTTGAATTATTGGATCAAAAGATATAAGCAAAAAACTGTTAATTCTATAGTAATTTCATATAAAATAATATAGCCAATAGTTTTTTTGCTAATATCTTTTGATCCAGTGATCCAAATTGAATAATTTTGGTACCATTAGATTCCTCTCACAGAGACGAATCTAATGGTACCAAATTTATCCAATTTGGACCACTTAGTCACGAAATATTAATATTTTTATAAAAAAATTAGGTTATTTTTCTTCGACTCTTCTCTAACTTAGCAAAAAATGTAAAAAAATGTTATTTTTGTGAAACCCCCTCCCTCTTGTATAACGTTATTTATGGATGCCCCCTTACTACTCATGCGCTATCTAGTCAACAAGAGAAATGTCAATGTTTCACAACTGATCCTTTACCTGGTATGCAATATATAAAAAATTATATTACAATACCAAATTATTCCACTAGTACATGTTATGATTATAATCCAGCATCATTTTATTATAATAAATTAGTGTTGAATTATAATCATAACATGTAATAGTGGAATGATCTGGTATTGTAAAATAATTTTTTATATGTTGCACACTGAACGAAGAATCAGTCATATAATATCAATATTTCCTCCTATTTATCTAGTTACAATTTTTCTAGAGAATTGTGACATTCATATACGAATGATAATTTAATGTATAAGCATAAAGAACAGTTATTAATCTATGTTCATTTTACTTGTGATGCGAGCATAAAGGACATTTAGACGATGGAAGGTCTACAGCCTGGATTAGATAAGTACTATTAGGAATGTGACAAAAATCAGGTGATTTTTTAGGAGGGGAGGAGGGTAAAAAATTTAAAATTATATATAAAGACCTGATCAAAATATATAGTAAGAGGGGGAGGGGGTAAGCCTTTGATAAAAAAAAACCAGGTGATAAATGACACTGCCCTTATACTAAATCTGATTAGACTAAAATTGGTCAATCGTACAAATTAAATAAGCGAGTAACCGGTAACTCATTAGACAATGAATTTAAACCTCCTTCTTCATTAACGTTAACTGATCTTCTAATTTGGTATAGTCTTCTTATTACTAATAATAAGCCCATGGGTACCCATATGTGCCTATAAATTTTGTGAGCTAGGCTAAAGCATCAATTTTTGAGCCCTAGGGTAAGAATAAGACTCAGAAATCAAGCTCTTATACAAACAAGTAGAGCTAGGGTATTGTCATTATCCGGTCCTACCTGGCCCATGCGGAGGTCTAGTGAAAATTATTTTGTAAAGATCTACAAGTTTTTAACTTGTATGTATTAATCTAGTATATACTATACATATTATTTTAAATAGACTAAAGGTTGTTGATCTGAGAAATTAAAATATTTTAAATACAATTGAAAACATTACGTTTATATTATATATATACATATAAGATATACAAGTTATGCTTTACTACTATTGACATTCGATTTGAGTAGCATTATTATTATTTATTAGCAGGTATCCAAACTTAGTTCTGTAAACTGATCTAGGGGTGGATGAACTCAGTTCAACAGAGATGTTATACTGTAGTCTATTCTAAACTAATACACCACAGTTAGCTTTAAAACTAGGCTAAACCTGAAAAACTGCTTTTAGTTTTAAGATCAAACCAGCTAGGACTAGCCCAAACCAGTTAATTTTTTAAAATTTTGAATTATTAAAAGTGAACCAAGACTGGACTAGCAAAACTGTTAGGATTCCCACGGTTCAATCTGCTCTAGTTTCTGATAAGATGAGCTCATTAATATTTTAACTCCAGCCTTGGTCTGATTTCGGTTCCAAAACAATTCTTAGTTGTATACAGATATTCTCTCTCTAAGTCAAAGCTAAACAACTGAATGTTTAATAACTTTGTAAAACAGAACACAAAGCATTAAAACATTTATTAATTTTGTTAATAAGTTCAGTTTATAACATGATAAACTTTTAAACCGAGGATTTAGTATAATCAGAGTTAACTGTACTTAACTCTAATTATTTGTTGTTTAGTAGAAACTTAAACCATGTCACAGAAATAGAATTTATAAACTCTTTCTGGTTCACCTCCAGAAATACTTGAAAAAACAAAATTACTAAGCAAAACTCAGTGAAGTTCTTTTATAATTCAACTGGAAGGGCTTTAGCCCTTGTTCCAAGGAAATGAAAACTTGTACTTTCAAACATGAGCAACTTAACTTCCAAAAGAGTCAGACTTGATAGCAATAAACTCAAAGAAAAAACCTTTAACTTTGTAGCAGAGTTAAAAACAAATACAGAAAAGTTGACTGACAATATCAAACAACAAGAGAAAAATAATACACAAGAATGCAACTTTCAAAACAATAATACAAACAACAAGACAAACTGGGCAGATGAGAAGAAAGCTCTGAAGCCTCTTCCTCAAACAAGAACAACACATGAGCTTAGCATGTGATAATGTAAATATAACAGATCTCGAACCCAAAGATAGACCTAGTTCCCAAACCAGTAAACCACAATCTACCCAAAGAGGAAATCAACTTGCTGAAAACAAACAATGGTCAGAACTTTTCTCCAAACTAAAGGAAAGAA